TGCTGAAAACTGCAGGTCAGTGGGCAGGCGTCCAAACCAACCCTTTCATTTTCACTCTTGAGTAAAATCAGTGAGCAATCAGGATCATTTCTTTTACTTGTAGACCAGAAGTAAGAGAACAACTGCAGGACTTGAATCCAAGTGTTACTGACCTGAAGAATAATGATGCCATTTCCACCACAGCTCAAGCTTAAATAAAAACTGCCAGATTTGAGAAATAATGCAAAAAACTGGGGACCTGGACAGTGTTGCCCAGTGAGATATCAGACTAATCTGCAGTCTCTGATCTTGGAAAACAATATTCCCTTCACTGGCTGTGCCTGGAGGTCAACACATTCATGCTCTTACCCCTTGATGGCTTTTTTTAGTTTACTCTTTCTTCCATTCCAAACGTTGACAGCACAAAATTGGAGAGAAAGAAAAAGAAAATATTAAACCACCTCGATATTCAGACAAAATCACTACAGGCTTTACTACAATACTTCAGAAATGTGGGATTTTTCTCACTAATATTTCAAATGCATCCACACAACAGCATTTCCATCAATCACGCCTATAAGCGAATTTCTTCCAAACTTTCCATATTTCCCTTGCAAAAGGGTTTGACAACATGACTCTATACAATTTTGCTGTAGGCCATGATGCATGCACGGAAAATGAATCAGATTAGCAGTTTGCTTTTTCTCTCCTCACAGTTGTTTCTCCACTGTGTTATTAACAGTGCTAAATGAAAACACTGCTAAAGTCAAAACACCAAAATGTGGTGGAGTGGAAAGACATATTTATTCCCATATGCGAAGGGTAAGACCTTTACAACTCGTCATAGCTTCACACTCATTTGAGTTATAGGTCTTGCCTCTTACTGGTAAGGACAGATGATGCATAATCCCTCTGCAACCCATTACGCACTCGGTTTCTCTCATCCGCTCACTCGGTTCCCCTTCAGCACGCTCCACTGTGGCACAAATACTCAGGACAAATGAATCTGCAGAGGCCTACGGTTTCAACCTTTTTACAGCATGCTAATTAGCTAGTTGTAATTACAGTGGCAGGTAGTCCATCACACAGAGGGAACTGGCAGTCTCTCTAAGATATAAAAGGAACACAGATTTTTTTTCAACAGCAAGTTTGGCTAAGAACTCTGCTTAACAGATAAGGAACAAAGAATGGGTTGAAATCTTATAAAGATGCTCAGCATTTCTAATCAGTCTGACTTAATGTGAAAAGATGCCTAATGTGTGTTTAGGAGGTTATTTAACAGAGATTTTTAAAAGATGTGAAAACACAGAGGTAAAAAATACATGGTATGGTATGTTTAAATCTAGCAGGAAAGGTACCTTGGTTTGTATGGAAGGAGAACAAGATATCAGACATGGGATTGAACCCACGATCAAATTCAAGTTTACCAACAGCCATCTGGCACAGACATCAGCTCACTTTAGGTTGCAGGTTTCAGATGAGCTTTGTGGTAGGTTCTGAAGAGCGAGCAGAGCATGCCTACAAGCACACACCTATTTCTTGGCGTGGATGGGGGATCTGGCGTGTTGTGCTTCACTAGGTCACGCTGTGCGGCATCCGGCTGCTTCTGTGCATCCCATCTGGGCATGAGATTACAACAGATGGCCAGAAGAGGGGTAAAAAAAAAAGCTTATCCAGGATACTGCATAGAAAGGCCGCAATGTCACTTGCCACAACAGCAGACAGGCTCGCTGGCGGCCAGAGCTCGGATGTACTTATGAAACAGGACCGTTAGAGTAAGTCACAGCCATCTTGTAAGAGGCAATGTGGACCCGCAGAGCAAGTCAGGAAAATATAGCCTGCTTCGTAGCTTGAAGGCCTAAAAGACACTGAAGATGTAGCCTCTTCAAATCTTCTTCTATCCTCACCTCTCTACAAGCTTTAAATGAGATAGGAGGCGTCTCCCTCCCATACCTCAGAGCCTGTTTAGCCTTGGAACATATAAATGAGGGTGTTCATCACTCACGAGCAGAGACGCTGGGCAAGATATGAAGCATAGCAGCAATGGCTGAGATAGTAAAAGAAGGTAAAGGTACTACAGAGCTCAGTATCCTGATGGGGTCTGCGGTTATCATGGATGAGATATGAATTTGAAGATCATGATATCACTCAGAGCCTCCCAAATGGTATTCAACAGTAACTATGGCAATCCTCTAAACAGAGAATGAGAAATAGTTCTGATAGCAGTATCTGGTAAATTTGTCCAAAAAAAATATTCAGCACTCAAGTTCTGTTTTTCTATACCTGGACCAAGTTTCTTTCAGCGTCTTTTTCCCTTCAAACATCCTCTTGATAGAAAGCTCTTGAAATTCCCTTTCTGTGTATGTGAATTATGGTGTCTAAATGAAACCGTTCCCATGAATGACAAGACTTTGTTTTATGCTGCAGTGACACATGCTTAATAAGGCTGTTGGTGTAACAGATGAGACAACTGCATTAGCTTGGGACATGGTTTTAGATCTTGCACATTGCAGCATTAACCTTCATTCCACCCAGTGATGATCTGCTGTCTCAGAAACTGAACTCACCGGCTCTCTGGGTTAGGCAGGGGGAAGCTCTGGTCTCGGGTGACAGTCCTTCCATCAGCATGTATTGGTGGTTCCAGTAATTGTTGACGGGAGCTGCTCGGTGCAGGAGTGACTGCCAGGTCCCTAAAATGTTACAAAAAGAAAATAAAGTGCTTGTTACATGCATTTATATACTGTGATAGCATAATTAGTGCTTAGTGAGTTCACAAGACCTGTTCAGATGGAGGGGAGCGTTGTCTCCAGTGGGAGAGGAACAGCAATAAGCAGTGGGGGGTAGTAATCCAGGCTCTGTTTACAGCCAATAGAGAGGCACAGTCACAGCTACAGTACAAATAAACTCAAGCTTAAGTAGATATCTAAAGCAGGTTGGATGAATTACTCTCCACTGAGACAGAGCGAGTAGGGCAACTTGTTCAGATAGTGACATTTTTAGTAAAGACACCCAAAATCGGGTGAGATTAATCCCGCCCCTTGTGACTAACTCACGAGGTGAGAAGTTTCATCTTCACAGCCATGCGTAACACCTAAAAAAACCAATTCCTGGTAATCGCAGGATTGACACTACTTTATTTATAGACTCGAACCACAGAGCTAAAACCAAAGAGATGCAGCACTGGAGACTACCAAACATGAGAGAACCTTAATGAAATGCTGAACTTACAATTTTAACTCTTGGAAGATTCCATACATCTGCCCTCTGTACCAGAGCCACCCCACCGACACACCTCAACTGAACTCTGAAGGAATATTTTTATTTTCAAGGGCAATGAGCCCATGTAACTTTTGCGTGTGCCATTTTCTAGTTTCCCTAGGGAGCTTGTCAAGAACATTTTTAACTGCAGTAGCAGCTGCTGAATGCTTGCTCCATGGGAGAAGCTAGGTTTTTAAGGAGGGTTAATATCTTTTCTGAAGACTCATTGCTACAGTTTGGGAAAAAAACCCAAACTGTTAAGTTCTTCATCAAGCCCTCAATCACGCCCATAGGCCATTAAGGAGACAAGTATACCTCTGCCACTTTCCCATGGGAAACAGAGAGGCTGGAATCTCAAACTGTGTTTTCACGCCTCCTCATCTTGCCAAAGCAGGCCCAGTCCCCGCTGTGGGTCTTCTGGTGCTTCAGCGATGAGGCTTTCCCCACTCCTCCTCAGAAATCAGTCCCTAGCCCAATCCACTGTGCATGGCAAGCAAGGTTTTTCTACTTCTCATCTTTAAATTTCCCTTTCTTTAGTTTCTTCTTATTATTAATATCTATAAATAAAGCTTCCCTAGTGTAAGGCCTCAAGCTGTTATTGTTTCACTGTCAAGCAGCTGCTGGCTGGTAATGGTGTTTGTTCGTTATCGGCTCAGATCAAAATCTAAACCAATTACATAGGAGAAAGGGCCTGATTCCATTAATGGCCCCCAGAGCTGCGTGCTCTCAGAAATCATTTCCTGTAAATCCACACGGTGAAAATAAAAAAAAGAAAAAAAAAAAAAAGGGAAGAAAAGAAAAACTCTCAGCAAAGAACTCTGTTCAAGATATAGCACAGAAACACACAGCCTGACGAAGGAGGCTCTAAGAGTCAAAGCAGAAGGCTGAAGACAGGATTCAAGGCCACCTCGCTAAGGACTGGGTCATCACAGGAGGATGAACTCTGCTTCCTGGAGCAAAGGGTTGGATTCAGAACCCACAACCCACTCCCAGAAGCTACATCTCAGTTGATAAATAAACTTAAAACAACACACCTGACAGCAAAGAAAAATATGCATATTTAAAGATGTTATAGAGACGCTTTTTCACCTTCTGTCTCTGCACTAAATGTCTTCTTTACATTGCCTCTCAAGTTTTGTCCTGTCATTATAGGTGTTTAGGCTCAGAGCATAATTCAAATTGCACCAGGAAGCCTCAGCTCGAAAAACAAAACAAAAAAAAAGAAAAGAAAACAGGCTGGAGAAGTTAAACAGCACCCTGTGAGAAGGCATATTCGTGTGGTTCAGAACAATGTCCTAGTTTTGTCATTAAGAGGGGCATAGAAATAAAACTGAAAAGCAAAATTACATTGAAGTCAGAGGTTGACTAGACAAGAGGGTCTGCAAGAAATGCATGCAACCACATGCATGAAAATCTTATGCTCACAGCAAGCAAATCCGACCCGAAGAGAGTGTCTCAACCACAGGTAGGCCACGGGCCTTCTCTCTTCCCAGTTCTGGCAAGGAGTTCCAGTCAAACTGTAAAGTGTACGAATTTCTTCCATCTCAGAAAAGCAAGATTGCGTGTTATAAATTCTCCTCTCGGTGTTGCCTGCTCTTGCTTACTCCAGTTCTTTCAGCAACATTTAGACGAAATCAAGAAGTTAATCATTAGCTAAAGGCCTGATCTGAATGAGACTTCAACCCAACCCCTTATTTATTACCCTCAAACACACAGACAACTAGCGAAATTATTCAGAGCAAACCACCGAACGTTGCCCGTACATTTTATTAGGCAATGAGACATCAAAATGACTTTAATTACACCTGCACACAGCCACAGGCAAAAAATAAAGAGGCCAGGTTTTCAGTAATTTGGATTTAAGAATCTAAATTTATGTAGATAACCCTGCGGGGCTGCAATAAATAAAATATGTTAGATTCTTGTGTGACACCACTTTTAAAATTTTCTAACACATACTCAGGAAAATTGAGCAATATATTTCAGTTTGGATTAAAATGTGTGACGATGAGAGTAAGCATTAAAGAATCTTTTAATATTTACGGATACACCAGAAATTCAAAACATCTAGTACCTTAGGAACTTTTTTGCATATATCATTTCTGGCATCAGTTTCATATATTTAATAGAATTTAGGTTCAGCCCTAACTGAAGTAGGGTTCTCATTTTCTGCAGCAGCGCTGCTCAAAAGCAAGCTGAGCCGCCACTGCCCTCCACCATTTCTGGTCCACAACCACCTATTTACACGCCCAGCCCTCTCTCAGAGTGATGCCAGCACCGGCGGTTCTTCAGAGAGTGAGGGAATTTGATCCGGCTGAAAAAACCACCTTTTTGTTTGGCAAAAGCTGAGCTGTACCTTTATCCAATTCATCACTAAGCTGTATGACGCTGGAGGCCGCGGGAGCACAGAGTGGGCAGTGGAAGAAAAGGAAGGGGCACTGCTACTGAAGAAATAAAGTTACTGAATTCTTCCTCACTGAGTGACAAAAAATGTCTGGACATAAAAGTCTGCTTTGCACTGATAGCCCTTTTTAACCACAGAAATCAGGATACGAATCCTCAAATAAAACACCGCTTTAAAGGAGCTCCGCATATAGTTTATACAATTAAAATCTAGTCCAACAGATAAAAAAAATCATTAATTCAAGCAACACCTTGTAGAAACTTCTAGCTGATCATATTGGTATTTCTATGTGCTAAAAATATACATAATCAATTACCTGCATATTTCACAAATCTGTTCTTTTTACATTATAATCAGCTACTTTTTAAAGTGCTTGTCTTATTTTGCGTCAGGTTACCTGCAGTGCCCTGAGAACAAAGCTTCATTCTATACCAACTCCATCCAGCATGGCAAGCAGGGACCTTCCTCTCCTATTTCCCAATACAATTGGAAATTAATCTGCTTTCATGAACTCCCTTCTCTCTATCTGCCCTGCTTTGCTCCAAGCTGTCATCTCCCCAGGGGCAGAACAGACAGAACAAGATGCATGCTTGCTTCTCCCATCACAAATCCATACCTTCAGTCAATTCCAACTCCGCCACAAGGTCAGGGGAAAAATGGGGCTTTACATTGGAGTAGTTGAAGCAGGGGTGCATGTTCCTTTCTCTCCGCTCCTCTAGAGGAGCGGTATTCCCTAGGGCGGAGTGCTACGGCAGCAAGCTTACTACATCACGATTCATCACCTGAAACCCTGTATAAGGCCAGATGTGTTACCGGTGAAAGAAATCATATTTTTACATAAATGGCAGACTGATTAAGTGGACAAAGTACCTTTATGCACTGCTGCTGACAATGAAAATAAAGAAAAAGTGTATCGTGTTCTAAATAAAAACTCATCAGAACAAAGCTGATAAGATTAAAGCAAGAATAGACAGCAAGAGTGTTTTAAAACTGAATTTTAAACAGGCGTGACCTATCCTATTTATGTAGGCAAGTAAAAAGAGAAATAAAAGCCTCCCAATAAAATACAGCTTGAAAGAAAATAACTTAAAATATGGATATTCCATAGGAGAGAGAAATCTGGGAAGCACTAAAGCCAAGATGGATCTAGACACAACAATGAGATGAGATGTCGAACCTGGATATCTAATGCAATAATGGCTCCACAAAAAGATCAGCGTAATTTTTGAGCAACATATTCAGAGACAACGAAGTATGGTGCCTCAGACGCAGGCTTTAGTGTCTTCTTTGCCAGCACTTGTTGGAAGGACACTTGAAATACTCTGGACTGATTAATTTTGAGAGTTAATTAACAAATTAGAGAGACTTTATAGAATCATAGAATCGTTAAGATTGGAAAAGACCCTTAAGATCGTCGAGTCCAACCGTTAACCCAGCACTGCCAAGGCCACCACTAAACCATGTCCCTAAGCACCACATCTCCCCGGCTTTTAAACACCTCCAGGGATGGGGACTCAACCCCTGCCCTGAGCAGCCTGGGCCAGGGCCTGACAGCCCTTTCAGTGAAGGAGTTTTTCCTAATATCCAACCTAAACCTCCCCTGGTGCAGCTTGAGGCCGTTTCCTCTCATCCTAACCCTACTGAATTTGCTAAGCATAGACTTACAGAGAAAGATGAAAAGACATTACAATATATATAGTTTAAGTAAGAACCATGGAAAGGTATAAAACAAGGTAACAGTCTAACCACCCCAAAATTATTTGGATGCTGCTGCTAATATTACTACGAATAATGCCATAATGAATTACCTTGTGTTATCTCAGTCACACAATCTGTGTACAAATTCCTTGCTTAGCCCTTGATAAAAGCTAAAGAAAGCCACATCACCTTACATTTCCTATAGGCTAAGAGTGTGCACAAAGACAGTTACCACAGCTAAGATGACATGCAATAACCTTTTAAGCTACTCATGACCCAGGTCCATAGTTATATATTGAAAGAAAGAGCCATCAAACCCTAGGTGAGCTTTTCCACAGTGAAAGCTCCTCTTTTATGGGTATTTAAAACTTTATTCAATTCTGTATAAACAAACATGCTCAATAGAACAAACATGCTCTTGCTGCTGGACTGGACTACATGACCTACCGGCTTCTTCGCTATCTCATTGCTACATTCCAGGATTCAAATTCTCTCTCAGAATTCCAACCATTTTATAGCATTCATATTTATGGCACCTCTTGACTTAACCTCTTGCATGGAATGGGGCGTTGTCTACTCTTGCCTCCAATTCTGTTGAGCGCATCTATCCCTTGAGGCCTGGTAATTGCAAATGCTGATTGGGGGTGACAGGATTTTCTCTCACCTGCCTGACAGCTCTGCCAAAGCAGTCTGATACTTAAGTCCAAAATCAGCTTCCAGCAAATGAGTATTGTGGAATAAAGGGAGCAAAGAGCAACAGAGGCAGACTCAGATGAACGGTTCACACTGCAACCCTAAATCAAACCCAAAACATCTAGCTCAAGAAAACACTGATTTCCATTTTCCTTCTCATTTCAACATAATTTAAAATGAATGAATCAGCTACTTAAAAAAACCCTTTTCTCTAAGTAAAGATTTGAAAAATGCATCATAATTATACATCTCTGCCTGTAAGCTTCTGCCATTGGTTTTCTAGAGACAGTTTAATTCAGTAGGGTTTTTTTTCTTCTTTCTTTATTTTTTTTAAATAGTCAATCTCCAGACTTTGTCATTGGAATGATTTTCATCAACACATCTGGTATGTACAATTGGTGACGGCATTTGCAGAGGCCTGAAATGAGCTGAAAGGTGTGAACGTCCCTATTCGTTCCGATGATTGCTGATTTAGAGGCCTATGTGATAGTTTAAATGTCAACACTGTGAGCCATTTCATGGCAGGTAGGAAAAGCAAGCAAAGAAGAATTCAGATTAGGAAGATTTACACCAGGGGAAGGCAGGAGTGCCACAAAAGATCAATCAGAGCAGGCACATTGAGATTTGTAGACTTTTAACACCATTTTTGCAGGGCTGTGACTATGAGGAAAAAGGAAGAGAGTCAAGACAGGATCCATTTTCTTAAAAATAAATAAATAAAATTAGGAAGTGGAGTCAGCTTTCAGAAATTCTGCTTTAAACAGAGAGATCCACAGAAGATGTACTGCAGCAAAAACCCTTGCACTGAGCGTGGCTGTGACTTTCCAACACTAATTACTAATAGTGCTAAAAAACATGCCAGAGACTGTGAGCTGCTGGAAAAATGATCCTTTTCTGCTCTCTCAGAGAAGAAACATATAATAATTTCATAGTTTTAGACAAGTTACTTGTGGATGGCTCTGTCTCATACATTTTCAGTATACATTTCGGGACTGCTGCACTCCCAAGTCAAAAGACAGGCAGTGTGTGATATATTTGTAGGGCTAGATTTAAAAGTGATAGAAAGGAGAGTTGTCTATGAGATTTGCAATCCCTGACAGTTCCTAATCATTCATCCTTAAGAGCAGTGGAGAAGAAATCTTAAACAGGCATTTGTCACTTTATTGCAAAGGACTTGGCTGAAACCACTCTACGTTACCTTTGAAACAGCTGGACATATGCACTGGGTGCCTTCCCTGACAGAGCCTGACGTGCTGCAGAACGACGCCTTTGGAGAGAAGCTTCTTCCTGATAAAGAAATATGACCGACTTTATACAGCAACTTAAAAGTATATGTGGTAACTTAATTGGCTGGGATATTCCTCTCTTTTGCTAAGCTCTAGAGTGTATGTGCTTATATATTCTGGGAAAATAGCAGAGCTATATTATGACTAACAAGGTGCTAAATAGGACTCACCGATCTACACAAAACAAATTTTGGTCTGAAATCTTGCTGGGTTTGAAAAATGAAGATCTGCATCTCCAGTGAAGCTCCATTTCTTCATAGTAGTCAAAATGTGCCGGGATGTAGCAGGAAGGAATATCTGCAGAGAACCACTTTTGATGCATCCCAGTCTCCCATCATGTTAGAGTGGGGATAATTCTAGCTATGCTGTTGTCTTAAGCTTCTTTTCACCAGCAAGGGGCTGAATACAGAAGAATTTGCCTCTGCTACATCTTAAATACACTGTCTCCTTGCTCCAGCAATGCAGAAAACCTGCCTTACCAACTCTATACCAACCAATATTCCCCCCTCGGAGCAGGAATTACCGTTTGCAAATTTCAGTTAGTTAAAATGACTTTGTACAATGAACACATTATGATCTCAGCAGACTGGAAAATGTGGTCCTGAGTTTTAAGGGCACGTTAATTAACATGTGCTGTAGGACAATGTAATTTCTCAGGTCAGACAAAGGCAGCATTACAGTGTGCTTAAAAAAATAAAATGTAAATCGCAGAGCAAAGTTATTAAATCCTGCTTTGTTATCAGCTGATAGCCATTGATAGTTATCAATTTAATAGCTAAATCACGTCTGTAACAGAGGTGTTTTGTCATGGTATGAGGAATGAAAGAGAATATAGTTAATCTGCTGAATGCTCACATTATGACTCTTGTGAATTCCTTCACTTTCCTTCGCTATTTATGCTAAGGAAGGCTCTGCTTAGATGCTCACTGAGCTTGTGTTTTGTTCTGCTCTCTTTTGGTAAACATGTAATTCTGACCCTTTTTTCTGTGTGGATTGCAGGTATAGATATCTTTCTGCTCATACCTTGTATAGTTAATTACAGCCATACAAAATTAGTGCAGGGTTGGCATGGTCACAAGGGATAAGGCTGCAAGGAATCAGATCTACTGTCTTGCCCTGAGTAGCAGATCCTGCTTCTTATTTTGCTTCTGAATAATTCACATTAATTTCTTCAGATTTTTAATTTTCCAGTTCTACATGATGGGAGTGGAATGTGGTTACTGCAGTGACAGCACATTATTTGGGTACCAAAAGCACAAAAATCATTTACAGTCCCAAATGTAAAAGTTTAGACAAAATTTTACTTTAAGGCCACAGACATATTTTTATTCTTCTCATTAAATATGGTCTAAGAAGCACCTGTGTTTCACCTTGAACATTTTACTACGTTGACACTTCAGCTGATGCTGTAAAACTTCCTCTGCGTGTAAAAATATATTGGCAACTTAGCGTAGTAAATAACAAAAAGGTATTACCAGCACTGAACGAGGAGACTAATAAGAAAGAGAGCCTTGCGGCCACTAAGTAACTTAAACCCAAGGTAAATGATAGCCTCCTTCATCATGAACCACTTCTCCCTGACTTGACAAAATGTAAACTTTCAAAATAAAAATAAAAAAGATGAAATAAAAAGTGAGAAAAATAAATTGTTGGGGTAGGAGTGATGGCAGAGTGCCACCAAGGTACGAAATATTCTGGCTTCTCTCTCACATTAAAACTAACAAACCTTTGGATGAAAGGAACAAGAAAATAAACAACACTTGTGACTTTTTTTTTAATTCTGCATGGATTGAAAAGAGGTATTTCATTCCAGAAGACTGAACAATGGGAGGTTTCCTATTTATGTCAGCCATTTTACAGTCATACCTTTCTCCACACCTAAGAGAGCCTTTTTTAAAGCCTGGGAAATGGGGGCAGGGGGATCTGTTACTTTGCTCCATCGACAGCACTAATTCTAAACATCAGAGGTAGTTATAAATACAGAGGTAGTGGCAAAATTGTACAGCAAGTCATGCCTGCCAAGCCGTCATTCATCATAATGACATCATCACCCTGGAATGGAACAAAATTTAAAGCTTTCATTTTTCTTTTTCTCTTTCTCCTGTCGTCGTCGTATAAAAAGAGCATTAGACACATCTGCTTCATAGCCCCGACTCCCCCACTGCCTGCAAGGAGAATGAATGCCTTTAGGGAAAGGACTATTAAGGAGAAGTAAAAAAAGAAAGAGAGATGAAGCTGAAGTTGCAAAAGGTTATTTGAAATCCAAGCACATTGTTGAATCCGTTGATTGAAAAAGTAAAAGCAGGTGAAAAATGTGCTTAAATTTGATCTCTGGCAGTTATCACTAGCGTACACCCTGAAAGGCTCGGCTGAATGAGTTTTCCCACTGCCACAGGGTGGCGTTCATAAGTAATCTTCATTGTCCTATTAACTGCATCTAACTATTTCCTCGGAATAGGGTAGTTTCATGTCTCGTTGTAGAACTGAGAGATGATATTCAGCTCCCTTAGTAGAGAACTGGATGAAATCAATTACGATCAACAGATTTAGTCTGGTGTAAAATTGAGCAGAAATGACGGCTTGTCCTCTCATCTGAGTTTACCTGCCTCGTTCTCATCAATCTGCCTTTAACTCTGGGGAACTGGTAAATATTGTTGAAATGAAAGATGGCCAGAGAACAGGCGTCAATCTTCTCTGGAGAAAGAAAGCTCTGACTAACATGTATTTTTTGCATACAACTTATCATTTCTGTCTAAGGTTAGAGTAGATGCTGCTTACCAGAGAGCCCAGTTGTGCAGCAAGTTTGTCCGAGATGCCTTCTGGATATTTTTTGGCAGAAGAGTCCAAGAACTCATTGACAGACGAAGACCGAGTAGTTCCAGTGATTACTCCACCGGGTGACAATCTTTGCTCTTGTAAGATCCGTATTCTTGAACCTAGTATGGGAAAGACACTCCTCAACAAAAATATTCTGAACACCACTTTGCTCACAGCAAGCAGAAAGAAATCAGTAATTTGCAACTATCGTCAGCTGGCTTTTGGCACAATTCTGGATTCGCAAAAGATAACTGTGAAAGTTATAAAGGATATAAACTACGCAGTTCCCCAAAAGCTTATAAACCTTCCAAGTACTTCACAGATATAACAAATTTATCCCCCCTGAATAGTGAGGCAAATTAAAGTTATGAAAAATCTAAAAAAACCCACCTGACTAGGAAGAGGTGCTTAACCATGTGTAAATGAGCTCATTTTGTTACGGATGCTCTGATATGCACCACTGTTACGACCTCTAAGCTAATTACAGTCTACCTACTTAGAAGTTTTAACCTTCTCAGAGCTCTTAGAATGTGACGGGGAGTTGAAGCGGGGCACCTTTTCTTCTGTTATTTATCGGATTTCTGTGAACAGAAATCCAAAGGCTTGCACCACTGCTGGACTGCAAGGAATCAAACATGACTGCAAGCCAGAAGGATGAAGACACAACTAACTTTCTTTTTCCAAACCCATTTTTTTCAAATTTGAAAAATCTGTAAACTGGGATTTATCCTGTCTATAAAATGGTATCTAAATATGAAATTAAGTCACAGAAAGTAGTATTGGCCTTTCAATACTTGAAGGGGGCTTACGAGAAAGATGGGGACAGACTTTTTAGCAGGGCTAATAGCGATAGGACAAGGGGTAACGGTTTTATAATAAAGAGGGGAGATTTCAGACTAGATATAAGAAAAAAA